AAAGATGCCTTGCCAGTATCCATGTAGCTTTGGACAGGACCAGAATGTGTGGAGGAGTGTGGCAGGAGATTGTTTACAACGATCACACATCGGATCCAAGTAATTAGGTCATTTTGACCAAATTTGACTTAATCCTCATTGCAGAACAATGTGTCACTCAAACACACACACACACACACACACACACACACACACACACACACACACACACACACACGTTAGAAGCAAAAATAAAAAGAAGATGTGCATTTCCGTGGTTACACCTTGTTGACAGTCAGTCTCTTCCAACCAAAAGATAAAGGCGACAGCCTGTTTTTGTTACTAAAGTCCCATGAATCACTGGATTATTTTAATACAACTTGTGGGAAATAAACACTGGATAAATATCTACTGCTGTTCAACCTTGTACACAATTCAAAATGACTTTACACTAAAACAGCTAACTCAGTTAATCTTAGTGATATTAATTTAAATTGTAGCGTGGCAGAGTTTAATACTGCGTTCATACAGTGAGTTCAGGTTGTTTCTGCCTCCCTGTCAGTAAAATCAGGGCTGGCCCTAACTAATGTGGTGCACTGCCAGTTTACAGACATCCACACATCAAATTATATTGTTTTTGATGCTGTTTATCTTTAGAAACCAGGTTGTCCAATTAAAACAGTTAACAGTATAATATATTTGAGACAATACCAGATGTCCACCTCATACCTGCCAACACCTGCTGACATCATGAGGAACACCTGCTCATGCTGGGGACTGCAGCAGTTCTAGGGGGGTTCAGGGGTATACTCCCCTGGAAATTGAAAAAGATCTACTGAAAACTGCATTTAAAGAGCATTTAACTAAATTTTTAGGGTTGATAAAACAAGATCAAATCAGTATTTTATGAAGGAAGAAGACTGAAAAACAGACTTTAACCTGAACTTAATCTGAGATCAGAACTGAAACTTCAATTACCCTTAYTTTGTTTTCTGTTTCCACACTGAGCAGCAGTAAATCTTGACTGTATCATATGATACTTTTATCATGAAACATCCTCTGCAGCATATAACCTCATGTAGGAACACAGCAGCTGAGAAACCCACAGAACGAACCGGCCTGAGTGAAACATCAGCTTGTTAAATGGTTTTTGATGTGTCCAGGTTCCCGTGGTGTCTTGGTTCGACGACGTGGACGACGCCGAGCTGCTCCACCTCCTGCCCGTCTTCGAGGAGCTGAGTAAAGCCGAGGACGTTTACGCCCGGCTGGATGAGCTGCGGGGACATTAGCGCCCGCCGGAGCGACGCCACCTCCACGTTTACCGAGAGCAGATGTACTCAGGCGGCCATCTTTAGCCTTCTGCACGGAMTCCATGCTCCTGAGCACTGTCTTAGCCTGCAGCTGGGGGAGGCTTTCCAAACCCCCGCTGTAACACTAGATCACATAATGAGGCCTTTCTGATGGACCTCATTGWTGATGATAATGACAACCACTTTTTTTAAAGCACTACAACAGAGTGGGAAATGACAACCAAAGCAGTCCCATCACAATCACTCCAGTCAGAAAGAAAAAAAGTGGATRTTTTGCCAAAGCAGACGCCTGCCTGCCCTCACTTGACTTTTGGATATTCTCCGTTTTGTTACTGTGCCTTTTTAAGGAACAACAGAAGAGAAAAAAAATCAGCTCTTTTTTAATTTTCACCAGATTTTATACATTTTATTGAGTTCTTTTTATAGAGAAATCTATTTTTAAACGCGGTTCTTCTATGCAACCCATTTTTCTTATAACCTGGATAGTACCTCTAAAGCAGGCAGTTGAGGGTAGTTATTATTCTGATGGCAGACGATAACATTACTGTAGACTTTTAAATGTCCTGTACATGAGCATCAAGGTTAAAAGTACTTGTTGTTTGTATTATGAACTATAAAACATGCAATATTGGTATTCAGATTGATATATTTGGTTACAGGTTGGGTAAACAGGGCAAAGATTTGGCTTAAATGGTCCTTTGTAAATAGAAACACTGGATTTGATGGCACATAGGATGACCATGAATATTTCAGTTTTTAGACCTACGTAAGGAAAATAAGATTGATTTGTTGCAATGTCTTTGTTCCTGTATGACAACTTGCACTTGTTTGATATTGACAGTGCTGAAAGTAAAAACTGTGCCTTTAGAGTTTGGGACAGAGGATACTGTTCTGCCTGAACAGAGATTTGTAGGCCTGCACACTCTGATGTGTCATGCTGAGCGTGAAAACATTAAAAAAAAAAAAAAAATTACACTGTCAAGATCAAGGGTGGTGCCAGAGGCTGTGGTACTTACAGTTCAACACTTGAAACTATCAAATTTAATCTTTTTTTAAACCATGTGTAAGTCTTTGTTTTCTTTATTTATTGGCTACAAACTTGTAATTGTCCAGTACTTCTTAATGCTCAAAGTTTTATTTTGTGATCCATTTTGCCTACATTGAGGCTGGCCTTGTGTTTAACTGTTTATCTGTGCCTATGTTCGAACATTTTGCTGTCACTGTTATTGGACAATTCACAAACTTCAGCTACAGTAAATCAAAAACTAATGGAAATCTGGGATGTTTTCTTTTTTTTTATTTTTATTTTAGAATATCCTATTTTGTGGGGTTTTGTTTCCTTGGTAGAAAGTTTTTTTAAGAGGTTTGAGTCTGTTGCATGTTGATGAGTAAAATATGACAAAGAAAACCTGTCAGTTGTGATGACCAAAAGTATTTAAGTCACAAATGTTTTTGCAATTATCGCTAAACTAAGCAATTCAAAAACTTGTTTTGTATAGCAGTTCTGACCAAAACTCTAAAAGAAAGGTGCTACCAGTTTTCATTTTGAAATAAAATTTGGGTATATTTTACAAMTCTTTGACTGTTTTGTCCTCATGAACACTTGGCAACATATTGTTTTATTGTGTAGAGTTTAATTATCTTTATATTGTAGTGTAATATTTTTTTAGCATAGGTCCCTCTAGAATTATTTTAATGAGGGAGCACCGAAATTTAAATATTTTCATATACCTAAAATATTTGACATCAATGTGGGAGTTAGGGAATCGCTTTCTGATACGTACTTTTTATTGTATTTTATGAAATATTACAGCTGTTCYTGCTTATTGAGAAACTCTCAAAAGTTCTAAATTAAATGTTAAATTTATGTATTCAGCACATAACTTCTGGACAAGCTGCAGTCTTATGTTGAGGACATTGGTTTTAGTTAGCCTCTTTAGTTGTACTATATTTTAGGTTTATGTCAAATAGTTTATATTAATATTTTTAATTGTTAAAAAATGTATTTTTTTATGTTTATGAGATTCTTCTAAATAGCTAGAGGAAATTAAAAATATAATGAAAATTTTGGACTAGTGGATTAAACTTGGGGGGGTCCAGTGAGGGTCAACAACGTTATAGGGCAGTGGTTCCCAAACTTTTTRTCTTCTGACCCACAAAATATTCATGGCAAAAACTTGTGACCCCAAATATTACTGGTCTGAGTACATGAACTTCATTAATAACCCTAAAACACAGGCTTTTTGACAATCTAAACAGCTAGTACACAGATATAAATACTTATCTATACTTATTTTGTGTTTTTGTAATAATTATAGGGAAAATATTACAGCAGCAATTATTTTATTACCCTTTAAATTGGTTTCTGGAGATTATCCAAGCTGCTTCATGACCCACAATTGGGTCCCAAGCCCAACATTGGGAACCAAAGTGCAGTGGTTCCCAAACTTTTCAGCTTTTGACCCACAAAATAACAGTAGCAGAGACCTGTGATCCAACTATTTTTGGATGATAAACATTTGTATCAGGTCAAATAAACATGAGCATAGTAACAATATTTTATACTACATTTATCCATTTTAAATACACTAACCTCACTCCTTTGTAACAACTAAGGCAAAATGTCATTAATTCAGAAAAACTTTCAGGACCCCACCTTGATGTTTCGGGACCCCACTTTGGGTCCCGACCCCAACTTTGGGAACCACTGTAGGGGACCACACTATCTGTACTCTAGTTTCTCTTTAAATATAGGCAAAATTATTACTTTTAGCTTACTTCTATCAACGAATATGAGATTAAACCGTAATAGGTGTTATTGTGAAACTTGCACTAGTGCAATAACTCGTCATTCTACTGTTTTTATTACAAAATAATGTAAATTTGGGTTAAAAAATGTCAGACTCGTGAAACAAACAGCCTGATCTGCGCTCCTGTTTATAATAAGAACCTCCTATGAGCTGAACTGATCCAGAAGACGGATAATGAGGCTTCATAACCTTGGTTTTCTGAAAGTTCAGAGTCAAAGGTTCAACAGGATCCAGGCGCCGTTTTGTTATTTTCAGACTGCGTCGGGGCCGACGGCCATTTTAGGTGATCATAAAGTGACAACAGGGGCTTCGTTTCATCATWACGGCCTATCCACAGCTCAGTGTCGAGAATCAAACGTTAGGTTTACGACACAGACACACCAGAACAGCTTCATCTGTGTGTTTATCTGTCGGCAGAGAAGAAAATCTGTATGTTTCCTACTTCTTTTCCTGCAACAGGCTCGGTCTTTCTGGGCGTTTCCATGGTGACATCAGCAGGCTCGCCTCGCGCTGACTGACACGTACTGTTTGTTAAAATCGACCCGTGAGGCAGGAACGCAGCTGAAAACATCCGCGGCGCACTCAGGTAGGCTCCGTGTGGCTCTCTTGACTTTCTTTTAATTCGCYGTCTTCTCGGTAAATATTATATTTAAAAAAGTTTTTATTTTCGCTGTATAAAGCGAAAGACGTCGAGTTGTGTTGACAGGCTATCGCTGTTAGCATGCTAGGCTCTATCGCTGTTAGCATGCTAGGCTAACGCTGCTGTTATGAACGCTGACGGGGTGGAAACATTAGCTGCTCATAACGCTTAACGTGTTTTAGTTGATAATTTATAGCGATCTGTAAAACGGGTCCAGTATTTTGTTTTACCTATCAACTCATTTTTAATGTTAGCACAAACAGAAGAGCTTTTTTAGCCTGCTGCGGCTGCTGTGTTGGTCTGACATTAGAGTTAAGCTGCTGTGTTGTTGTTAACCAACAAACCACACAGCAACTTTCAGATTAATTTAATGCAAATATTAWCTTAAATTATGTTAGTAAGTGACCTATTTACAAAAAAACATTTTGTTTGTTTGATATACAAAGTGTAGTTTGAGGAAATCTGACCAATATCTGTTTCATTACACGACAGTAAGTAATTGATCTTGTACTTTTAGACTTTTAGGAGTAAAAAAATGACATGTTTGTTTGTAAAATGTTAATCTGAAAAGGTTAGTATATGTAGCCAACTGTAGCTGATAGTCAAACATTTTATTGCTAAATTCTGTCTTATCTGATTTTCCTGACTGCAAAGAGCTTGTGTAATATGTTTGCTTGTAAGCTTCTTTCAGGATCATTCTGTACTCTTTTTCTAAGATAYAGAACAGTCTTTAATCAGTAACAGAGCAGTAATTTATTGTCTTTCTTTTCAGAAGAAATCTTGGATTGAGACAAGACTTCAGGTTCTTCAAAACGTAGTTCCTGATTTCACCATGAACGTGTTCGACCGCAACATCAACATCGACGCRATCTTCAGGTTCTCCCAAATGTACGTAAGGTTTAGTTTAGATGTGACGTTTTTTTTTTTGTTCCTGCTGCCGGTCATTTGTTTGTCTCTCATGTTCTTTTGCTAAATCTCTTCTCAGATCTCATTCCACCCAGGTGCATCTGAAGAATGTCTACTCCAGCTTGGCCGTCTGTATGTTCGTGGCTGCAGCCGGCTCCTACGTTCATGTTGTCACACGCCTCTTTCAGGTGATAAGAACCACCATTTTGTCCTTTTTATAATAAAGATACTGAACTTATACGTTTTTTAAGCCTATGTGCAGAAACTATTTGCTGAAGATAATTGTGACATTTAGCTACATTATGTCAGTCACAGGTTTCTGAAAGGAATAAGTTGTGCAGAAGTAAAGCTGAAAATGAGCTGAATGGGTCRTGTGTTGCTTTTTTTAAGCAACATACATCTTTAGATATCCCCACCTTCTACTGCTTATCTGTGGAGGTAACAGGTCTKAAGAGAAACCCAGACCTCCACAAGGTGTTTCCAGGCCAGAGAGGATACAGGTTGTTTGGGGCCTCGCCCCTGTGMTGTGCTCAGAAAGGAAAGTAGAAAGCATCCTAAACAGATRAACCACCTSAACTGACTGATTTYGATGCAGAGGATGAAGCCCTGATCTGGCTTCCCCACAGAATTGCCACCTTAATGTGATGGAGGGGTTTGAGTACCCCTGTGTTCCTGGGGGCTGTGCTGTTTGGTCGGGTCTCCCATGGAAACCTCAGGAGGTCCGTCATGATCGGGTGGCGTTCAAGCCGACAGTGTCCATGACCATGCTGATTCCTGCTAGCCCAAATTAGCTCTAGATGTTTAGACGTGCTAAAAATAAATTGCGTAYCTCTAAAATAAAATGTTAATGTTTTGTTTATAAAACTGAAGTATTAGTATGGTAACGAATGGTACTTTCATTTCTTGTATTTCCCCTGACAGGGAGGGATCCTGTCTGTGCTCGGGTCTCTGGGAATGATGTTCTGGCTCGCCATGACGCCTCACAACCCTGAGACGGAGAAGAAGAGGCTGGCTATCCTTGCAGGCTTTGCCTTCCTCACAGGTAAGCTGATGAGGCTGTGAATCAAATGAAAACGTGTTCAGAGCGATGAGCAGTCAGGCTGTAATCACAGAGCGTTTGCTCTTTGCTCTGCTTCTCCAGGCGTCGGCCTCGGCCCCACACTGGACTTTGTCATCGCTGTCAATCCCAGGTATGTAAAAGATTAACTCCTGTCTAATATCTGCTGAGTCAGCGTCTCATCTGTCAAATGCTGAAACTTGGTTTCCCTCTAAAACTCAGACTAACACGGTTTGTTTCCCATATCAGCATCATTGTCACGGCCTTCTTGGGAACCTCTGTGATCTTCGTTTGCTTCACACTCAGCGCCCTTTATGCAAAACGCAGGAGCTACCTGTTCCTAGGAGGTAAAGGAGCTCATTAACGCAKCTGCTTCATGAGAACATTACCAGCATTTTGTAGAAAAAGTTCAACTTCACTTTTCCTGTCAGGTACTCTGATGTCTGGTCTGTCCGTCCTGTTCCTCATGTCTCTGATGAACGTCTTCTTCGGGTCCCTGATGCTCTTCAAGGTAATGAGAGATAACGTAACACAACATAGAACAGCCTTGAAAGATGTCGTTTATTTTCAACTAAAACATCTTTTATTATAGGATGAATTTTAAAAAGATCAACAATTAAATAAAAAAAATCACAACTTTATGAACACAACTGTTTCAGATCAACAAAACAATTTATGTATCAAATAAAAATGATTCGTGATTTTAGAAATAGTTTTTGTAGATTTTTATCCTCATTAAGTCCTTAAAAATRAACTGCACAATAAATAAATCCAGTGTTGTCTCATGGAGGTTGTGTTTGTGTTTTCTCTGACAGGCACACATGTACTTGGGGCTGCTCATTATGTGCGGCTTTGTGCTCTTTGACACTCAACTCATCATCGAGAAGGCAGAGAACGGAGACAAGGACTATGTGTGGTAAGAATCAGCATATTTCTGGTCCTCYGGTGTTAAACCACAATCATGCAGATAAATCCATCATCCCGCTGTGAGCACATTCAAACAACTGGTGAAAATACATTCCACTTGTTTTGTGTTGAAGGCACTGTGTGGACCTGTTCCTGGATTTCATCACCATCTTCAGGAAACTGATGATCATCCTGGCCATGAACGATAAGGTACTGACACTCAGTTATTATTCAAATGCTTGTCAGCTGATGCTTTGCATGTTCTGTATAACACACACACACACACACACACACACACACACACACACACACAC